GCATGCATACATACATACACACACGCGCATACTGTGCAACTGTTTGTAGTATGCCTGCACCCGTGCTTCATCTGTGCCTTCAGATCTTAGCAAAATACCGACAAGTGCACTGACGAAGCGCACACATTGCTGACGCATTTAGCATTGCACCAGCTGTATATTCCCTCGTGCATTCGTTCACCATCCGTTCAGCAACAGCCTATGCCCGGCCATCGGAAGCTGCAAAATGGGACATCCGCCATATCCTGCAAAACGGGTCGATGTACGATCACCAGCATAGGTCATAGGTCCCTCCGATGCTTCAAGCTTCCCACTTCCCATCTAGCCCCAAAGGGGGCTGCAAGAGGTTTCAAATTAAGGCTGACCGTGTGTGGAACAGCATCTTCTTGGGCGCAAGTTCAAGATCCTATGGTCCTATGCCCTATAGTCGATCCCCACAGGTAGTCTGGGAATCTAATGAATCTAATGCGGTGCTGAGGCGCTCCGCCACGATGCTGGACTCCTTCAAAGCCCACAGCTGACTTGAAAAAAAAGGCAACGAGACGTCGGAGCCCGGCCTTTCCGACTTCCTCTTCGATCTCTTCGACGTCTTCATCAACTTCCTGCTCGTTCTCGTCAGAGCGCTCTGCTAGAACGGGACACTCCGCATCTTCGCGGGTCACATCAACCGCGCTGCTCGCCGCATCGTCTCTCATACACCGCCAAGCCTCACAGCTACGAAGTCAATTCAATCCTTGCCCCTGTTCAGTCTCAACCCACAGGAGGCCCGCCTAACCAAATGTCGCATACATGAACGCACTTTTGAGCCAAGACAGCGACTGTCCAGAGGGATAGCGCTAGACTCTGCAGCAACCGTGCTTGCCACCAGCGGGCCGGTACAGTCTATGTCTACGTGGCTCTAAGTGACCATGGCTGCTTTTCCGAGGCTCGGGCCCAGCAGCCTTGAAGCTTTTCGGGGCTTGGCCCGCAAGAGAGCTTCAGCTTGGACTCGTTGGAAACCTTTGTGAGGGGGAAGCTGTTACTGTCTGTTCAAGCTAAGCAGGCACTTTCCAAATCCTTCGCAGGCTGCGACGTAGGCCCTCTTACTCTGCCCCATCAAGCTGCTGTTCCAACTCACGCAGTACCAACCTATGCAAACTATCCCCGCACGTGTTGGACGAGGAATACAGACCGTTCTCGACAAGCGTCCTTCCCGTCTGCAGAGAGCGAGAACTGGACGAGAATCACGTTCGTCGTGACAAGGACAACCACATCCTTCAAACGGGCGCGCACTCATTCTGAGATCGGAAAACCCCGGAAGTTGGTCGCCATTCCCCAGAATGGGGGACGGGCAGACGCCCCCAAGAGCGATTTTTTGTCGACTCCCGGGCTCGTAGCCGGCCCTAAACGTTGGGACGAAGGATCACCGACGCCAAAGCAGAAAAGCTGCGATTGCAAATATGACACCTTCAACTGCATGACGGCGAAACCTGAAAGCTAAACGTGGGCAGACAAACTGTCAACTCTCAAGCCCACGACAGCAAACACTACATCTCAAAATGTGTGAAACAACAGGGTGCTCTCAACACCTAAACCCGCAAAGGCATTAATGTGGAACAGGAGCCGGCTTCTGACGAAGGTAACCATGTCACCTTGCAACACCTTGCAAACCATATACCGTGAAATGCATGATGACGGCAACTACACCTGATTAGGAGTGAATGCTGGCGATTCCTAGAACATTGCCCCGAAAACTGGCGAATGCTAGGCTTGAATGGAGGCTGTCATGAGCGGACAGGGTGCCACCAAACGTAAAAGCGAGCGCTTTCTGGCAAATCCTTGAAGGGGGATGACTGCCAAATCCTGAACACGAAATCCTGAAACTATCAGGCCCTAGACCCTCAAACATCCTGCGATGCAGCCCGGCAAACCCTAAACCCGAAACGAAGCATCGACCTCTCAAGCGCAAGAAGTGATTGGTTGGGGATTCGCCCTCAAGAACGGTGGCTGGCGAACCCTCCTGAAACGAATCCTCGCTGAAACAGAAGCTTAGCAAGTGGCGAAGCTTGGAATGCTGCTGCCAAACCCGAAACCACAACTGAACAACCGTCCGTGCGCAACCTGAAAAGAACCGATTCACGGCTGACAAACCTGCCGCTTTTGAAAAGAAGCGATGGCCAGCAGACTCTAGAACGACCTTCGACTTGTCCCAAACCCTCACGAGAATGCTGGCTGGCATCACTAAACAGCGAAGGTTGTTGAACGGAAAGCCTTGACCTCAAAACGGAGCTTCGGCTCGCGAACCATACGGCGACAAATAAAGAAAGTGATGGAGGGAGAAGGACTGGAGCGATGATAGAGTGATGGCGCGTCGCACGCCAAACATGCCCTCGGTTTTACGTGCCTGGTCGGCACTTCCCCCTGTTGGATTGCACACGTGCTTCATCACTGCTCTTTAAAGTGCCTTTTTATGTCAGCCATGACCTCCGGAAATCTCGTGCAGAAAAGGCGGAAGCTCAGGCTTGTCAAGGCTGGTCCCTGGTCCCTGGGGCCTTCTCGCGATAGTACTCCAGCAAGAGCAGCGGCGAACCGATCTTGTATCGTTCAGAACATAGGCCAAAATCATCGGCCAGATAGATGATACCTGCTGGCTCAAGTGAGATGCCGTAGCTTCAAGTTGCATTGCTGGCCTTGTTCTCCCCCGAAGAAGAAGGGCGGGTTGTCCAAATTTGGCTCGCCTGGGAGAGGTGGATGTTGGCGAAATGACCCTCTTGGAATCAGAAATCCAAGCATGCTGGCCCTGCCTGAGGGTGTCATGGTTCGGAAAATCACTTTGTCATGCGCACCAGTTTTCCTTCCAGGGCCATGCTTGACACTCCAGCTCGTTCCTCCAGACATAGCCTCAAAGCCACCCCATCCCACCCGAATCCGGTGCTTTCAATCAAGGCTTAGCAAGGCCATCAAGGCGACAGCGGCCTGTAGTGGCACATCTGGTTGCACAAACCTCTCATGTCGGTTTTCCAGACTCCGACAACACCGTTGTTGTCCGTGGTCACCTGTCAATTCCCAAAGTGCAAGCACATGACAGAGCTTTCAAGAGCCAGAGGCCCCGGCGCATCGGCTGCCATGCGGATTGAAAGTGATGCTCATGATGCGGGAGTCTCTATGGACCTGAGTGAATACGACCACGAGACCGACATGGCATCACAGGACCCAGGATTCAGTTGGTGAATGTGTGCATTTCCCTTGCTGCCAGAGGCACTTCCCGATCGTCTCGAGCACTGCTGCAGGCAGGCCCACTAAAAGTCACCGCACCTCATGGACAGCAACCGCATCGCGACTACAAAGCAACTGTCCGCATTCCACAAGTTCCGTTACGGCCGCTAAAGGAACAAGAATCTCTCCGCTGGAGCCCCGGCCATCCTCCCATCCTGCAGCGAGCACCTGGACATGTCCCTCCCTGCATCGTCACCATCACGAAAAACTGGACAAACAGCTGCAGATGGCCTTGGAGTTGGGATGCCAGGCAAGGGCTGTACACCTTTGCTAACATGCGGGCATGGTCTGACACTTCTGGAATGCGACTCGCACGCCACTGGTGTGAATACTCTTCTGAGGGTCGGTGCTGCACTGGTCTTGTTTGACAAAAGTCTGGAAGCTCTTCCCCTGATTTCAAGCTTCTGAACTTGCACCGCTTCGGCTTCAGCTTGGCATGGATATTGCAGAGGGTCGAGCAGGAAGCTCTGCAGCACTGCCGAAGCCAGAGGGACTTTTTTCGCTTCTTCGCTTTTTTCGGCAGTCTTTAGAAGCTCCCCTTCCAAGCACAAAGACTAGGACTAGGATCTTTATTTCCGCGTAATGATGTGGAGTTGGGCCTGCAAATCGGCCGAAAAAGCTCCATCCCGCAAATTTCATCGCTCCCAGCGCTTTTGGGTCCACTTGGTGCCATCTGGCCACAGGATGCCGTCGCCGTCCCACTTTGCAATTACCTCTGACGGCTGGCCGATGCGCTTGCGGTCCACGATATCCCTGCCTGCTTGTTCAACCACGAGCTCGTTGGCATCTTTGTTGGCCAGACTGACCTTCAGCGACCAGTCCTTGGAACGGCAGTATCGCTATCCCGATGTCTAAGACGAGCGAACCCACCAAGCTTACGCGGAGAGAGGAAAACCAGTGACCAAACAGCGCCGGAGCGTTTGAGTGTCGCCTCTAAACTTTGAACATGAGCAAGCCCGCCCCGCATGACTTCTGCCCTAAGCGCGGAATCTTTTCAAGCTCGGACGATCTGAGGCAAGCAGCGTAGTACTGCACATCCCTCCGCTTGCGGCAATTGAACTTGCCCTCGTCACCGGCTCCGGACAAGTCGTAGCCTTCGATCTTCCCTCAGAAACTGCTGGGCAAGATGGAATGCAACCCACCAGGGTGTGACTGAGTCTGCAGCCCTTAGTGCCATCAAAAGCGATGACGATGGATCGATCACATGAGGGGTGCTTCGGGTCCTCGTAGATCCCATACCACCTCAGCCGGTGCGGAACAGCCAAGGTCACGCTGACGCATACTCGCGGGACTTCTGGGGCCGCCAGCTTGGATGCTCTGCCGCCCTTCTTCACAGGAGCTCCCTCCTGGACACCATCCAAGTCTGTCAATCAAGCAACAGGTCTCTGGATAAACAGATACCTACGCTGCAAGGATGCTGTGAATGGAGGTGCCTCGGCTTTGGCCGCCTGTGGCACCAGGCCAACCAATGCAGCTTGAATGGCAAGCCGTCTTCCCTGAAATCACGAAATGACACAATTAAATCACCGATGTGACATGTCGACGTGCAGCCTGCCTGAAATCCAGGAAGGAACGCGCTCACTGAATGCCTGCACCATCCGGTAAGTCACAGGGCGTATGCGGAAACGAACCTGCGCCCCAAGGGCAGCACCGGCTCATCTGCCAGCAAATCATCGCCAGGAGAGCGAGGACGAAGCGCGACTTTGGCCTGGAGCCGCTCTGCCTGAGATGGAAGCTTGATATTGCACTCTTGACCACACCTTTCGTCGTCACCCTTTCATTCGGCCTGATAGTCAGACCATCCGTATCGTTACCTCTGCCATCACGCCGCCACTTCAAAGTCATAAGGATCACGAACCATCATCATCATCCTCATCACCATCACCATCACCATCACCATCACCATCATCATCCTCCTCATCATCCTCATCCTCATCATCCTCATCCTCATCATCCTCATCCTCATCGTCATCATCATGATCATCATCCTCATGACCACCATGTTCATGACCACCATGTTCATGATCGCCATATCATCACCAGTGGCATCATCAGCATCGCTAGTAATCAGCATCAGCATGATAAACGCATGCCACACACATCTGCCCTGCATCGTCAAAGAAATCGCATCCTAGTTTACCCAAAAAACGATGGAGCCGAAGCATCAGGTGAAACGAATTTCGCATTTCTGAGTGCCTCGCGGAGCATGGCTACAAAGGGCCGGCGATGCCATGTTGGAGGCGGTGTCTCAGTCACTGTGTGCCGAAGTAAAGGCCTTGGCCTTTCACATGATGTCGCTGCCAGTGAGAAGATATGTGCTGAAATTCGCAAGGCTTTCTTGCACCGCAATCTGCTGAGCTGTCACTGCTGGCATATGCTGGGGGAAGATATATTCTGTTTGAGCCCGGCACGGAACCACGATGAACTACGCAGTCCGGTACTGTGTGCACGGACTTTGCTCTCCAGGCCGTCTTGCGACACAGCGGAGGTCTCATTCAGAACTGTAGATAAGTCTTGAGCCCCTTCACTGGCTATTTAACAGAAAGTAGGCAGTAAGCAATGCATAATGCATGAAACAGCTTGCAGCCTCGGCACATACATCTCGATACAAGCATAGGTTGGAGAATGTTGAGTAATATGCAACATTCACCGGCAACATTCACCGACGTTAGATCATCTAGCTTACACACACACACAGAGAGTTTTCAGTAAATGTACGTCTTTCGATCGATGTTGGGAATTACGTGCGCCCTGTACCACCTGAGATAAGATGTTGCATCTGTGAAGCTGAAAGGTTTCATCTAATATAGTTCAATGTTTTGTGTTGTATGCATGATTTTCCGTTTCAGATGTAGTTGCCATGCAGTCGCCGTGCATTTCACCCGACAAGTTGCTGTGCGACGTATTGGGTGATAGTGTAGGGTGCTATGCTTTACTCCCTCGCCAGATCCTAGTCCTTACTATGCTGCCAACGTCACAGTGAATACTACACTACTGGTTCAGAGGTTTTGCTGTTTTGCAACCCTCTGTCAGGTAGGTGTGTATGTCTGCACGTAAGTATATACGTATATGACATAAACAGGTAGGTAGGCAGGCAGGCAGTTTGGCAAGCAGGCAGGTAGGTAGGTGGGCAGATAGGTAAGCATTTATATATGTATAGTTCTAGGTTATTAGCACATACTTGTCGCAAGGCTGTCAAGCTTCACGATAATTGGTGTATACACCAGTGTGAGCAGTGTGCTCCGAAGCACATAGTAGCCGCTGGTAGCATAGGTATCGATCAGAATGTGCAGTATAAGTGGGATAACAGAACATTCGAACGGCATAACAGGCAGGACAATGCATGTGCGATATCCTCATGATGCATTCTAGCCTGGACTCATATTACATGTTACATGCTGAGAACTGTATAACAGAAGGTGCTGCCATGTCGTTGCAAGCGTGGCGCACGTTATCATGTGATGTGATGTTGCACTAAGCGAAAGGAACCAAGTCCACATGCTGAGGTGGAAATAGGCAGTGAATCATGCAGTTGTGCATCTCTTTATGTGTTGATTTATCTAACCATTCGTTTCTCGGTCTACTGAAATACAGGATGGTTTCATACCAAAGGTGCACACCTGCGTGCACATATATACATATGTAGAGAGGGTGAGAGAGCAACATACATACACACATACATGTATGTGTGTAGGTACAAAGAACGCTTTTGCAGAGTGTGTACAAGTTCATGAATGTGTCTATTATATACATATATATATAAACATATACATATACACGTACAAACTGTGCCCGTGCTTGTATGTCTACATACATATATAGATGCATACGTAAACACACACGTACAAGTACATAGAGATAGATAAGTTTGCATACACTATATGTACACACACATATAATATATATACATATATATATGCATGCATGTATTTTCGCATTCGCTTGTTTACTGCCAACCTGCAGGGTATGCTGTGGCTCTAGCGGCTCTAGCGTCGACAGTACCTGCAGGCAGGCATGATCCCCAGGCCTTCTTCGCGAAATATTCGCAGGCAGCTTCCTTCAGCGACTGCCAGCAAAGGCATGTCCTGCACCAGGGGTCAGGAGTGTGCTTCAGGATTTTGAGAGTTGGGGTGGTTTACTCACGAAATACGCTTGTCGAAGCGCTGAGTCCTCACCCCAGCTCCACGCGATGCAACGCACAGACCTCGCATCGCAGATGCGAATCCGGAGCAACTGACATGCTATGTGTATTGGTATTGGTGATGGGACTATAGACAGGCAGACAGACAGACACAAACAGACAAACAGACAAATGGATAGATAGATGAATAGATAGATAGATAAACGGATAGATCCGCCGACCCCACTTGTGCGAGCGCCGGGGAAGCCGCTTGCATGGCAGGTCATCCCCACCCCCCCAAGCCCCTCGCTTACATCCTTCCCCACGCTCCTGCCCCTACCCTATTTTGTACGTGTACCTCTAGCTTTTTGTGCAGTTCAGAAATGACGCAAATACGCGTCCCTTACTACCTTACCCCCTCGCTTAGCCCTGCGGGTCTCACTCCCATACCCCTACCCACCCCGTACCCCTTACCGCACCTCCCCCACTCCTCCGCTTTGTCGTCCCTTCCAATACGCGTTTGGTTCGCAAAAAAAGCCTACCCCCCTAACCCGTCTACCGCACCTCCCCCACTCCGCAGCCGTCATCTCCCTACTCCCTCCCCTCTTTCCACAGCGCTCCCAGTACACCTCCCCCTACCTCCCTCCCTACCCCCCATCCCTCACCCCCCACCCTGCTCTACCCCTCCAGTATTGGCCCCCCCCCCACCCCATACCCTCCCCCCCAAAAAACTTAGTTTCCTTTTTTTTTGTGTTGGCGCAAAAGGCCCATATAGGGAGGGACAGGGAGGGCTCAGCAACAGGCGCGACCGGCAGTGCCGCCGACCCTGCTTCATCGGTCCACCGGGCCGCGCGGGACCTCGCCCGGAGGCCTTTCGGAACACGCACGCGTTTCGCACCCATTGCCCGCAACCGGCCCTGCAGCGCGAGGCAATGTTTTGCCAATTTTTGAGTGGGTTGCGGAAGCTTGCCAAGGGCTGCGCTGCCCGCCCATGGGCGCAGCCCCTCGAATAGACTGATTGATAGCTTGATGGGTTGGAAGATAAATAGTCAGATAGATAGTTAGATGCATGGAAGCCTGGATGGATGGGTGGATAGATAGACAGACAGATGCATAGCTACTTGCAGGAGCCTGCCGAGTTGCAAGGCTTATGTCAGAAGACGTCTGCATAAGTGGCGACTGCCATTTTGGCCCAAGTATCTGGACCGTGGGTCCACTGGGAGTCGGCAGCCACACCAATTCAGCATGCAAAACGGAGTGTTTGCATGCAGGGGTTTTTGGTGTGCCATTTTCATGCGGATATCTGACATAATATGTAAAATATGTATGTACCCACAATATTGTGTAGAACTACGGTACGGATGGGTAACCATGTCAAACAAATACATCCGCAGGTGTTGCTGCGAAAGCATGTGGCCTGACAGCCACCATGGGATGGTTGCGCAGATTTTCACCCTTCATCTGAGACGGAAGCGAAGCATCCCCGAGAGCCAGGTGGTTGTCGAAGAATATCGACCTGAGTGAATGGGGCAAAAACCCAGCGCATTCGGACAATGCGTGCTGGATCCGTACCACCTCACTTCATGGGCACTCAGTTTGAGTAAGAACCGAGCGACATGGCTTGCAATGTGGGCGAACCCTTTAACTTTCGATCTAAAACATACGATATTGCTGCTTCATGTACTCCACAATGGACATGTTCTGCTTCTCATCAGCATGTCTCATGCTCCATTGAGCGGGGCGGCTTTCATGCTGTAGAACCGGATACACTGGTGCTGCACAGCTACACTGGCTGCCAATCACCCGGCCTAAGCAGGTGCACCGTCCCTATCCATCATGCTTCTTATCTACGGCCATGTCCGCAACTCCGTCCTGGAACAGTGGCCGGCGCAGGTAACACAGTCTGAGACGCATGTGCGATGAAAGGTCTGGCACCGTCTCAGCTACAAATATCTGAACATAAAGCCAACAGGTCGACACTGCACCGATCATAAAAGTCGTAGGCCTTTGCAGCTTGCTTCCTCCAAGTCGAAAATAGCCCTGCATGCCGGCAGCCTGCAGCTCGTGGCTCTCTGTGTCTAAGATACCCCTATATAGCCCTCACGTCTCTGCATGGAAAAGGAGCGGACTGAGAGCGGACAGGATGAAGACCATGGGCCTGGTGTGTTCCGAGCCCCGACGCCCCAGAATGACTACTGACACTGCAGCGCGCCTTTCTGACTGCCGGATCTTGGCAAAGGGCACAACTTCGAATGCCCACGCAACTGCAACCTGGGCCCGGACTGAGGCTTTGTCTATATAAGGTTCCTCCGACCCCGCGGCACTTGTATGCATGGTTCCTTCGAATCTCCGTCTTCATGCGAAGGAGTTGTAGAACGAGAGAAGTTGTCCCGAACCGCAGAAACAAGGTTCACCGCCCGTGTGACTTGAACATCCGCTAGGGCCTACCAGGAACTGGCTTAGCTTTGCGCTGCATTCTGGGCCTGACACTCTTTGGCAGGTGATCTGGATCAGCTCCATCCATGCTGTGCCGAGATTACTGGGAGCTGAACTCGAACCCAAGAGTCTAGACTCTAGACAACTCCACAGAAACATGCGGTAGCAGATAGGACTTAATAAGTGCTGGGGGCTGGGGGTATGCTGAAGCAAGTTCTGGTTGGTGTTTCAGTCTTGCTAACTTGCTGCTGCTTTGCAGGTTGTCTGCCGTCTGTACACTGCTACTGGTTACGCACACGCTGATGCAAACACAGGAATACTCCGGATAGTGCACATGACATGTCCTATGCCGAAACTCTGACGCAGCTGTAGCCTGGCTGGCTGCGGCGAAGCAGCGACTCGACACAATGCAAAGTATCCTCTCTCACGGCGAACTGCTGCATAATGGCATAGCATTGCAATCAATGAGCCACTTTCGGACGCCCGCTTAGTCAAGTGCTTGGAAACATTCTTGGCAACAGAACAGCTACAGCAACAGATAACAACTACAACCACCAGAAACAATCAATTCTAAGAACAGGACTCGAATGCATGGAAAAGCCTCAATCTCTTCGGCAGATCCTCCTCCACTGCAGGTCGGTCCGACCGCTGCTTCGCACGTGTCCCGGCGGAGTCGTCCACCATGTTCTCGAAGAGCTTTGAACCAAGGAAGCCGTCCATGCGGCGTTGCTCGGCCTGTTTCTGACCTCCGTCGCAGATGTAGGCCTCTGAACCACCGCGTCCACCGCGTTGCACCCGCCAGGAAGTTCATCGAGGTGGGCTGCTCCCGACTCGCGAAGGACTAACCAAAGACATGAGGGCTGCACCTGGCAGCAGCGAGTAGCACATTTGCAAACAGCTCTTGTGAAGCAAGAGTTTGCAGGAACACAAGCCGAGTTCACCAACCACGAGCTTGTCTTGACCTGGCTTGGTGACTGCACCGAACTACACTCGCGAAAGTCACCAAACATCCGCTCACCCATAGCAGGGATGTCACCGGTGCAGCTTGCACATCGGACCTGAGGTCCGGACGTCGACACCAGAATCCATCCGCTTGCATCGCGGCGAAGGACCTCTTGACCGAGCTGGAAAAGGGCTGCAACCGACTCCGCAAAGCCTCTCCAGTGGAGCCTCGCAAAGCTCGCCCAGCTCCACTGAGATGGACTGCTGACCGAAGCCCGTGCCAGGACCGTCCCAAGCCTACCCAAACACTTGCCAGCTCTTGACCAAAACAGGGGCCAGACAAAGCTTGATTTAGATCGCCTTGGCGACAACCAACACCTCCCTCTTTGCGGGCGAAGCTCTGGGCGGAGGCGCCTTGTGCGCCCCCTGGCAAGTCGTGGAGATCTCGCGTTGCAGGCATGGCTGAAGCTTCAACGGCGACTGAACAGACTCAGACAGCTCATGAATTGAGCCACAAGCAGCCCCACACCTTACGAAGCTTTGTCAGCCGACGGTTGGCGCGGTAAGCCTGCGCAGCAGGAATCTGTCGAGGTTCTGAGTGAAGTCGGAGTGGCATTTCAAGCGCTCTTGGACCTGCGCCAGCAGGCCTCTTCGGCGCGCGGATCGCATGAGGATCGCCTCAGGACTTGCATTGGAACATGCGAGTGCCTCCAAGCAAAGCAGAAGTTCTAGACCGACATACTGTAGTGCGATAAGAGGGTGTGAAGGCTAGAAGGCTTGCTGAACTAAAGCCGATGACCACATGCTGTAAGGACACTTCCGTTCCACAAGAACTCGAGATGTTCTGAACTATCCAGTAGAGTCACAAGCTCCGCATGCTCCCGGCACGTCCGCATGCGCCTCAGCAGCTCCTGCGTGTCTTTGGGCCTCGTTGCAAGGTCTGTCCGTGGTCGAAGCGTCCAGTCTGACGGGTGCCAGGCAGAAACGGGTAGGGCCGGCAGCTGCGGACCTCAAAAGCTCCCAAGAAGATTGACGGACCAACACCCCAGACTCTGGGCTTCAGACCGTGGCCGTCGAACCACTGGGAATGACCTGGCTCCAACAAATTCTTCTACTTCTCTGACACTGACTTTGAATCACCCGTAGCTTAAACAAGCCGGTGAAACTCCGGGCGGCGCCTGTGCTTGTGCGGATGTGGCAAAAGCATGCGAGACTGAAGACTGCTGAGTCGTCGAGTCAAGCCTCAACCTGGTGCTCGTCGCAGAGCCCATTGTGCAGGAGGCGATTTCCCGGTCGCATCTGAATTTCCTCGGTGGGCAGTGGGCGAGTTGGGTGGCATCTACATTCTACATGTGCTACGAGTCAGAGCCTACCGGCTCTGGACAAAGTGGATAGCTCGCACAGTGCTTTGAGAATCAAGCCGACTGCTTTCCGATGATGCGCACGCCGGAGAGGCATTCCCGGATGTCGTTTTCCTGTCGTCATGTAGCTTGCTTAGGCTTGCTTTGCCGGCAGATTCTTTCGACGAAACCCTTCACAACCCGAAGCACAGAGGCGTGGAAGCAGGGTTGAGAAGGCTGAATGCAAAATGCCCTCTTGCTTTAGTCGTTCATCACCGTCATCGATGCTACTTCAGGCCAGCATGTGTAACGCAGGTTGCTTTGACTTGCATCTCTGATGTTCATGCAGAACTCTTCAGAGGCTTTGAGAATCTTTACCACACGTCGCGAAGACCCTGTTGCAGTTTGGTTGCGCGACCAGCAAAGCAGTGTCGACACTCCGGGCAACCAGCTCCCTGATCGCTCCTGTAAGACTGCCTTACAGTCCATGGCCGCCAGGACAGCTGGACCTTTCGGGTTTTGGGGTTGAGCGTTCGGGCATGGGACTCAGTGCTGCTAGGCCGAGGGGTTTCGGTGACCAGACCATGCCTCCACAATCCGCGATGCGATTCCTGTGAACCTTGGAGCATGCAGCGTCACGTTTGGAGCCCACGGGTCAACTGCGGCTCACGCTCGACTTCACAGCAACAGCAGCAGCACAATGCCAGGATGCCGTCCCAAACACGACATGCGAGCCTACGCACGGAAGAACGAAAGTTAAGTAGTATGATCCTCACTTTCGATTCGGATCTCCAAGGTTTATCAGCGATCATCCTCAGACACCAGCCGTCTGCAAAGGTCGCAGAGCAAATCCAAGCCGTAATGCAGCGTGTCGACACATGCTCTTCCTTTGATCCTTCGTTTCAACAAACACATCTGAAGCTCAGATTGCCTAGGCCCACCTTTGCAGCTCAACTGCGGTTCACGCTCGTCTGACCAACAACACCCAACCCCATGATGTGGTCCAAAACAACACATGCACGCAAGCAATTGGAGCACACGGAGCTTACGCAGCACGACAATCGTCTGCACTAATGCTTCTCAGAAGAACGAAAGTTAA